AAAGAAAGAAAGAAAGAAAGAAAGAAAGAAAGAAAGAAAGAAAGAAAACTGGCAAAATAATTTTCTTGTTGTAAAACTGTGTCCTTGTCTTTATACAATACCTAAGTTCCACTTTAGCATTAAAGGGCCCAATCCAAGCTCTGTGGCCATATCAACTGAAACCACACAGACTAAAGCAATGAATTTTACATGACATCTGAGTGCTGCTTCTTAAACAGGATGAAGCATAAGCTGCATCTGAGAGGAGCAAAGATTTAAGCAATGATGTTTAGACTCTGTTACCTCCAAATTGATAAAAATAGATTCCATCTCTTGTGGAGTCAGTACCAGCTTTAATGGATTCATATAGTTCTGTAAGAGGTAAATGGAAAACTTATTAAAATAAATGAGCAAATACAATAAGATTCTTTCTTTTTTAAGCGAAAATTGTTGCAGTGGTTGCACTGTCTGGAGGGGAATCTTGGTGAATTTTCACACTTGCCAAGGGATAAGACTGACAAGCAGGGCCAGCTCTACCATTTTTGCTGCCCCAAGCAACAACAACAACAACAAAAAAGCCGCCCGGACTGTGCCGCCCCAAGAATGGACGCAATGCTGCCCCAGGTATGTGCTTCCTCCGCTGGTGCCTGGAGCCGGCCCTGCTGACAAGACATTTACTAAAACCAACCACAGCATGGGCAAGGATCATGCAACCTGCCTCATTATGCTTATGCTCAGCCACATCTCTGTGGAGGGTAGGGCTGGACTGTCTGGGACTGAGATGCCACAAATGTTTTGTGAGGTGGTCAGGTTGTCAAGAACATGAACAAGATTTCACTGGAATTAAAAGCTGGGCTGCAAGCCAGCCTGTCGACAGTGAAAAGCAAAGGCATTTACCACCCACTCGTGGAGGAAGCTCTGAGTTAGAATACAGTTAATTTAAATTAACTGCACATTCTCGCTCTGTGGACTAAGTCAGTGTTTCTCCAACTGGGGGTCCTGACGCCAACAGGGGGTTGCAAGTCTATTGTAGGGGGTTTGTGGTATTGCTACCCTTATTTCTATGCTGCCTTCAGAGCCGGGCAGCCGGCTGCTGGCCAGGCACCCAGCTCTGAAGGCAGCGTCCTCACCAGCACCAGTGCAGAAGTAAGGGTGGCATGCTATGGGGGACAGTCATTTTGGTGGGTGGGGGGTCTTCACAGCCTGAAATATTTTCCAAAGAGGTCCCCGCAAAAAAAGTTTGAGAATCCCTGGACTAAGTTGTCTCTCTTGAGAGGGAGAGGGAACACTGCCAAGTGAGCTGTGGAAGGATTAATGCCTGCAGAGATGCTAGGGAGACGGGAAAGACACCCTGGCTTTACCTTTAGAAGTTGCTCCCTGAGCATTCCTCCCCATTAACAGGTTTCAGTGGGGTAGCCGTGTGAGTCTGTATCAGCAAAAACAACGAGGAGTCCTTGTGGCACCTTAGAGACTAACACATTTATTTGGGCATAAGCTTTCATGGGCTAGAACCCACTTCATGTTCTGTGTATTTATACCTGCCTACTGTATTTTCCACTCCATGCAGCGATGAAGTGGATTTTAGTCCACGAAAGCTTATGCCCAAATACATTTGTTAGTCTCTAAGGTGCCACAAGGACTCCTCCCCATTAAGAGGAGCCATATTCAGGAGGGTATAATGTGGCCCTATATGTATACACAAGATATGTACATATCTAGCTAACTCTGTAGACAGAGATCTATCGAGCTCTATAGATACAGATATAGATACACCTACAAAAAACACTTCATGATTGTTCATATGTATGCAAATTAAACTCTTAAAACTGCCAGCTGCCCTGCACTTTGTCAGAGCAACAGCTTTGCTGGTTTACAGTTTGCTGCTCTTTGGAATGCTTATTGTTAGCTTTTGCACCCTGCCCCGTTTAAAACCTTAGCCACTCAGAGAGGGGGGAAAAGCAGGATTCAGGATCCTGAGCATCATACAGTACATAGTACACCTCTATCCCGATAGAACGCGACCCGATAGAACACAAATTCGGAGATAACGCGGTAAAGCAGTGCTCCAGGGGGGCGGGGCTGCGCGCTCCGGCGGATCAAAGCAAGTTCGATATAACGCGGTTTCACCTATAACGCTGTAAGATTTTTTGGCTCCCGAGGACAGCGTTATATTGGGGTAGAGGTGTATGTCTGTATCCAATGTGGGTGGAGGGCGGGGTTCTTTTTGTTGCTGTTGTTGGCTTGCTAGTTTTTTCACAAAGTAATCATCAGTTGCAATGGTGAACAGCATCCGTTTTAGCTGTTTGATTAGTAGAAAAACTCCCAGTCAGCTTGAATTTTTGCCTTGGAAGAATGCAGGTAACATGACTACGTTGGAGATGCTTTTCTGAACCAATGGGTATTAATGGGAAAGTCTGCACTGTCCATAGCTACAGAACATACAGACAGAATACAGCTTATTACAGGACCTTAACCCCCCCACAGCAAAAAATCTACTCTCATAGTTCATACCAAGGGAATAATTTACCCCTTCCTTTGGGCTGAAACACAAGGTTAATAGTGGTTTTCAAAGAACAAGAAATATGTACAATCACTAACATAAACGTCAAAGCCTCTCTCTTTAAAAGCCTGGAATCTTGTTTAATTGTGCGACTCTTTCAGAGCTTCTTTGGGCTTGTCTACACCCAGCCGCTAGTTCGGCGGCTGGGGATCGAAGTTCTGGGTTCGACTTATCGCATCTTGTCTGGACGCGATAAGTCGAACCAGGAAGTGATCGCCGTCGACTGCGGTACTCCAGCTCGGCGAGAGGAGTACCGCAGAGTCGACGGGGAGCCTGCCTGCCACGTGTGGACCGCGTCTGAACCGCGGTAAGTTCGAACTAAGGTATGTCGACTTCAGCTACGTTATTCACCTAGCTGAAGTTGCGTACCTTAGTTCGACTTGAGGGGTTAGTGTAGACCAGGCCCTATAAGAAAGGCAAACATTTTTAAAGGGAAAGGAAAAGAAGTAGAAATCATAGCTGGACTTTTTTTTTTTTTTTTTTTTTAATTTTACTCATCTGTAATCACTGAAGGGGAAAAGACTATCCAGCCTCCAGTCGGATGCATTGCATCTTTCTGTTGCTGAAGTGTTCGTTCTTTTAAAAGAGAGAATGCCACCAGAATTTATCAAAACCAATTAACGCCCGTGAATGCATGCCGAGAAATGTTACTTTTAATCCAATTAGTTTCAATGACAAGTCAGCATGGCTTCAGCATTTTCAAGAGCTGCCTGGAATAAATAGGTTCTTTCAAATTATTCAATGGCGATCAAAGAGTGATAAGAAATCTATAAAAGTCAGTCTTATCTGGAGATTGTGCTTGGCCACGTAAAGAAATGAGTGCATTTTACGGCTGAGGTTGGAATGGGGGGTGGGGTGAACACCCTTCTGAAATAACGATGTTTTTTAAGTATACTTTAAATATGCAATTATCAGATAAATTAGGCTCCTTTTTTATGCACGTTATGGTACCCAGCATGGGCTTACATTTGAATGCTTCTGTCCTGCCTTCTATCACAAACACCCAGTACTATGGAGCTCCAGAAGCAAGAACTAATCCAGCAAGAGTAATGCAAGATCAAATGCAACCTGAAGCTGTTGACATGAAACGTAGTGATAGGAAAGAAGGCCGGCTCTCACCTTTTCTATGTCTTCAAGTGTCTTGTAATATTTGGCCTCGGTTTCCTGAATTTCTAGCAAACAGCAATTTCTTTTGTCATCTTCTGTCATTCCCATTTTCTAGAGAAATAAACAACACATTCTTGAGTGTCCTTAGAGTGTTTCAACCTGCTTGCTTACAGTGGTTCTTTAATGTGTCATTCAGTGACAGCAAACTCCCAACCAACACGAGCTCAGGAAGCCAGAAACCAAATTTTCAATCATTTATGTGAAAGGGATCCATTTCTGTCTGCAAAACGTTGGGTGAAATCCTGGCTCCGCTGAAGTTAATGGCAAAACTCCCATTGGGTTTAATTTCACCCTTTGCATGTACTATACAATTTACATAGAGGACTATAACCAAAAGATGTCAGTCAAAAGAAAAAGTGCCTCCCTCTCTCTCTCTTTTTTTTTTTTTAAACTTTGTTTGCTTGTGTGAAGCTCACAAGTACCTAAATGGGACTTACGTGGTACACTTGTATGGGTCACCATTGTTGCCAACCCCCGTGATTTTATCCCGACTCTCATATTTGGTGCTTTTCTTAAAGCCCCAGCTCCTGGAGTCATGTGATTATCTGAGAATCTTACTTTTCTAGAAGAAAGGAAAGCTAAGATTCTAGCCCTCATGGTTGCATAGAAAAGCTAGAAACAATGACCCCCCCAAAATGCTCAAAAAACAGAAGACAAATACAAAATAACCCCAAATGCATTTTTTTTAATCTCATGATCTTTAGCACAATCTCATAATTTGTGGATGGGGCCGAGAGTCATGATTTTGAATGTTTGGGGTTAAGCAGTAATGAGTCTGCATTAGGGGAGAATTACCACTCTTTGTACAACCCATATGAAAGAGTGCAAGACAGCATATTGGCCAGACAGAAACCAAACTCTTTTGGTCACTGTCTCCTACTTACCTGCATATATCTAATCTGAAGCATGCAGAAATATAAGCAAAACCAATTAACATTATACATTTGGTATTACAAAATGCCTTTTTTTTTTTTTAAACGTCCACCAATTTTTCCTCAACATTTAGACGAAATTACAGGCTGCTATCATAAAAATAAAGAACTTTATGCTTTTGTTAAAGAGAAGGAAGGGAACTCAGGAGCTAAGAAAACATTGAGGACCAGATCTTCAGCCTGCGTGTATCAGGGTAGCTTCACCGGAGTCAGTCACTGACCTTCAGTGTCTGCGTGAAGTTTAAAATATTAAAAAGGGCATAATTATGAATTCATAGATCATAAGGCCAGAAGGAACCGTTAGATCATTTAGGCTGACCTCCCACATAACACAGACTAGACCAGAGAATATCATCCAGTTACCTCCATATTGAGCACAATGACTTATGTCTGGCTACAGCACCTCTTCCAGAAATGCACCCAGTCTTGATGCGAAGACTTCAAAAGATGGAGAATCCATCACTCCCTTTGGTCGTTGGCTCCCATGATTACTCACCCACACTGTTACAAAGGCCTAGTTTCTAAACACTTTCCCAGAATTCAGCTGGTTTTAACTTCCAGCCATTGGTTCTTAACATGATTTTCTCCACTAAATTAAAGAACCCTTTGAGTAACCAGTATTTTCCTCCGCATTATCAAATCACGTTGTGATCTTCTTTTGGATAAACCAAACTGACTGATCTCCTTGGGTATCTCTACACCGCACCTGGGAGCAAGCTTCCCAGCCCAAGTCCACACACTTGTGTTAGTGGGGCTTGTGCTAGCGCTCTAAAAATGGCTGTGTAGATCAGTGCTTCTCAAAGCCGGTCTGCCGCTTGTTCAGGGAAAGCCCCTGGCGGGCCGGGCCAGTTTGTTTACCTGCCGCATCCGCAGGTTTGGCTGATCGCAGCTCCCACTGGCCGCGGTTCGCCGCTCCAGGTCAATGGGGGCTGCGGGAAGGATGGCCAGCACATTTCTCGGCCCATGCCACTTCCCGCCACCCCCATTGGCCTGGAGCAGCGAACCGCAGCCAGTGGGAGCCGCGATCGGCTGAACCTGCGGACGCGGCAGGTAAACAAACTGGCCCGGACCGCCAGGGGCTTTCCCTGAACAAGCGGCGGCCTGAATTTGAGGAGCACTGGTGTAGACGACGTGACTTGGGCTCTTGAGTCTGGCAGGGCAGGGGCTGGAGGGTTGGGCTTGACAGCCCAAGCCACAATGCCAAAGCAACATCTACACAGCTATTTTGAGCAAGCTAGTGGGAGCCCTGCTAACACAAGTCTGCGGAGCAAGGCTTTCGCTCTCAGGGGCAGTGTAGACACACCCGCTAAGTCTCTCACTTCAGGGCACTTTGCGAGTGTCTTAAGGAGCTTACTGTTCGAATTTTCCTTGAGAACAATTGAGTCTTTTTTTTTTTTTTTTTAGGGGGCCTCCGGGAAGGTGGCTGTTGCTTAAAAGGTCATTTTTAGGTGGCTGGGATATTGTTTCCCCTTGCTGCAAGATCCCGTTGGTTGCCGCCCTACATGGTGGAGGCTGCTCAGCGTCCACAACTGAGACCAGATGTTCAAAAAAGCCCCACACCCAACGCGCTGAGCGCTTCAGAAAACCCAGCACCAGCTGGGAGTGCCGAACCCGGCCGAAAATTCCGGCCTCAATGTGGCTGGGGACAAGCCAGGGTTTGCACCTACTCAACTAATAGCACTTCCTTCCCAAGTCCCCATTAGTTCAACGGGCTGAATGTCTTTAGGTGACGTCTACACTATGAGCTAGGGGTGTGACTCCCAGTTTGCACCAGCGCACTAAAAATATTGTAGCAGCCATGGATAGCACGGGCTGCAGCGGCACAGGCTACGATAGCTGCAAACTCCATCTTGCCCCGGGAATCAGCCTAAGTGAGGCTGCACCTTCTGCTGAACCGAGGCTATATCCACAAAACCTGCATCTTGCATCATCACACTGTTCTCAAAACGATGGTGACAGGACACAAGTTGAGATCTTGGGCTAACAGAGAGGTGCATCAAAGCCTCAGGCATGAGAAAAACAGCATGGAGCTGTGAGCGCCAGCAAGGGGCCGCACCCTTAAAACATCAGTCTGATTCTAAGCCTTCCAATAACCACCTTCCTTGAAGTCCTTGGAAAGCTATAAAAACAAATCTCACACTTGTTACACCCATTTAAAAGCAAATTAAACCTCTGATGGGAGCAGAATCCTGCTTGGGAACGACAGCATGCATGGATGTATATATTTGGTTGGCGTCTTTTAACTTGCATTTTTTATTGACATCTTCACATTTTACCAACATGCATTAACTTGAAAGCATTCAGCAGTTACTTCGAAGATACTGAGGGAAGGGAAATGGTTTATTGGATTTTTAAATCCGAGGCTAAAGCTTTTATTAATCAGCCATTAATAACAATATTCAGGACAGCATCACAAAATCTGAGGTTGTAAATATGAAATATGCAAAATGGGCTATCACAACCAGTGTGAACGAATTCCAGGATTTTACGAGAAGCACGTCAGGCACAGATTGCTTCCAGAAATCTGGGGGAATCACAAGTGGGGAGGTTTTCCTTCATTTTAACTTTACTTGCACTAGGGAATTCTACCCCAAAAATCCCACTAACGGCATCAGTAGAAGTCCTAGTGCAAATAAAGCTTCTGCGGGTGGATGTCTTAGGTTGCATCTACACTTTGAGCTGGGGGTCTGATTCCCAGCTTGTGTAGCCACACTCACGCTAGCTCTCATCTGAGCTAGTGCACTAAAAATAGTCGTGTGGCCGTGGCAGCGCGGGCTAGCTGCCCTGAGTACAACCCGCCTGAACCCCGGAGGTATGTACTCGCGGCAGCTTGTACTGTGCCGTTGCTGCCTCTGTTACTGCAGCTACACTATAACTTTTAGTGCCCTAGCTCAGATGAGAGTATGTCTAGGGGAGCTGGGAATCACAGCCCTAACTTGTAGTGTAGACATAGCCTTAGTGATAAAAATGCCAGTAGCTACTGGTGTTTCCACCAGTGCTAAGATCAGTGCAGCTAACCCAGAACTAGCACCACTGGGAATTCCTTTATCACGGTGCTTAGCACAGAAACAGTCTCAAGACCTGACCCTGGGCCTTGCTGAGCCCCCTCAATTGACACTGACTTATGGGTGCAACCTCTCAAGGCTGGGCCTTCAGAGACTCTGATTCTGATCCCAATTAAACTAGCAGACTCTCCGTCGACGTCAATGAGTTACACCAGGGGTAGAACTGAGGAGAGATCAGAGCACACTTTCCTGGCAGCTCAACGACAGAGTTTGCATCCTGGGCTCACTCGGACTCTGTGAAGCGAAGTTCTTGCCAACCCACACCGCCGATTGCCAGCTGCAGCAATCTGTGATTTACGATTACAGGTCTCACTCCGGGAATTTAATTGACCAGTGAACTTGTCCGTTTATCCTGCTTTCTCCCAGAGTTATGAATCTTGGCAGCTGTAGTGTGCAGCCAGAAGACAGTAATTAGAATCTACACGGATCCCGGGGGGTGGAAGAATTTCAACTGAATCTCAAGAAGATGGATATTCATGCTCCAGTGATGAGTTCTCTTGAAATTTTGCACCAGCAGAAACAACAAATGTAGAGCATCTAAACGTTTAGCTGGGAAAAGAGCCTCCTTGGCTTTTTTCCTTTTTCATACTAATTATTTGGTAGCATGCTCCAGGAGAACATTTTCCATGTGCATTCGGTGTAATATACCCCTCTGTTCCTAGACAACACACCGCTTTGTTCACAGAGTAAATGCTCTAAGGGAGAAATTCTCCGCCATGCAGAGTAACGTAGGCAGCACTTAAGTCCTCAAAATAGGACTTACGTGGTTGGTTGGCGTTGTCCTGACCCCTCTGCACAGGGGAGAATTTCATTCCTGAAAGATTCCTGACAGAGCTTGGTACCACAGAAGCAATAGGGACTGATCCAAGGCCCACTGAAATCAACATGAGCCTTTCCATTGGTGTCCATGGGCCCTTAAAGCCTAGAGCCCTGTTACAATTCCCAACCTCGTGTAGCTTTTGGCTGCGACTTTCAAAGCTGACTAATGGATTTGGATGCTCAAATACCCATTAAAATTAATTCAGGGAGTCAGGCATGCAACCCTCCTAGGCAGCTTTGTAAATCTCAGCCTTAGAATATACCAGAGCAGGTAGATCTTAAGTGGTACAGTAAAAATACCCAAGAGAAAAACTACATCTTCATTGCAAATATCTGCCAACTCTCTCCTGGATCTAAGAATACTTGCAGTGTGAGACACACAACAGGCTAATTGTGCAGGTATGTGTCACATCTCTCGCCTTAGAAAGGGATGAAGTGACACACACTGCTTTGACTCAGCAGCAAGTTACTATTTTTGCACTTCCTTTACAACAGGGACTTCTTAGAACTTCTTTCTGCCCATCCTTTAGCTGACAGCACCATGGAAAGCCTTTGAGAAACCCTACAGGATCAGCTTGATCACTCTTCTCACTGTCTCCCTTTCCCCTGCCCCCCAGTTCATTTCCAAGGAATGACTCAGAACAAGTTTGAGATCATTATCTTTCATCGGTGGGTGCACTGCGTGTTTGTTTTTAAACCCCCTTCATGATATGGTATTTTAAATGCATCCATTGTTACCATAGGTTGTTGAACTTCCACTTTGATGATATCTTCGTAGATATCATCGCCTTCATCTTCACAGGGGACGCAGTCGTAAATATCCTCCCCCAGATCATGTTCACTGAAAGGAAAACAAGAGGATTTAGAAATACAGAGGATACATTCGCTATAGGTAGATTATGCAAGCGAGCCACAGCTTCCAGTAAAGAATGGGGGAGGGGGAAGAGGGAGAAAACCCAAAAAACGGTAATGTAAATAAAATTAATTAAATAAATTAATGGAGATATCCTGTCTCCTAGAACTGGAAGGGACCTTGAAAGGTCATCGAGTCCAGCCCCCTGCCTTCACTAGCAGGACCAAGTACTGATTTTTGCCCCAGATCCCTAAGTGGCCCCCTCAAGGATTGAACTCACAATGCTGGGTTTAACAGGCCAATGCTCAAATCACTGAGCTATCCCTCCTCATTTCTCTTTCCCATTTTGCATTAAGGAGGCACTTTTTTGGCATCAGCTACCGCCGTATGATTTCCCCTCCACACCTCCCACTCAGATGCTGGAACGATGCAAAACACTTTGCGGTGTGAGCCCAGGGACCGTAGCCATCCGCACGAGGTAGCATGGTCTAGTGGATAGGAAACTGCAGTGGGAGTCAGGAGCGCTGGGTTCTACTCTTGGCTCTGCCTTGGGCAGCTCACTTGACTTCTCTGTGCACTTTTATTTCCCTCCCCTGCTTTTGTCTGTCTTCTTTATTAGACTGGGAGCTTTCCCGGACAGGGACCGTCTCGCTAAGTGTTTGCGCTTTTAGCTGGGGCCTTTGGGCACTACTGCAACCCAAATGACACCTACATTTACACCAGTGTCTAAGGTCAAACGCCACAGCTGTATTACTTCTAACCAACCAGCCTATTTCAAACATCGAAAGACGCTGGCTCCCTCCTGGCCCCAAACACTGTAGCTATTTATAGCACTTTGTCTGTTCTAAGCACTGGGCAGACATCAGTTAATCAGTCCTGCCAACACCCCTGGGAGGCTCACAGATTCATCGATTCCAAGAGCAGAAGGGACCATTGTGATCATCCAGTCTGACCTCCCAGGAGATGTGGACACTGCACACTAAGCCCGGGCTCTGACTCAGGGTGGAGCCCAACGCCCTCTTCTGTCCACACACAGATCAGTCTGACTCAGGTCAGCAAGCACTCAGGACCCTGCTAGGCAGGTGGGTCAGAGCCCAAGTCCCACCGTGACTTGGTTCCAAGCCCTGTCACTTTGGAGTGTGGATGCAGCTCAAGCCGCAGACCTGAACCAGAAGGCTGGCATAGTACAGTATGGATGTGTTAGTATGACTGAGAGACCTGGGTCCAGCAATGGTAAACCCAGGTTTACAATGCAGTGTGGACGCTCAAGCATAGGCTTGGGAACATCAGGTCTACAAGGCTGGGTCCCACAGACCTGGGCTTAGTGTGCAGTGTAGACAGGCTACAGCCAAGATCGGGGCCAAGATGCAGGGTACTATAGAAACACCGAGTGAGAGTCCCTGCCCCGAAGAGCATTATTACTCCATTTTACATATGGGGAAACCGACTGAGAGGTATGGGGACATGCCCAAGGTCACACAGGGAATTGGTGGCAGAGGCAGCATTAGCCCACAAATCCTCCTCACTCCCAGCCCTGTGCTCATTCCTCCAGAAACTGTTGCCTTCCGACTGGCTTGGGGGAAATGCACATGGCTGACGAGACACCTGCAAACACAGATGTGCACCCAGTTGCTTTTTCGCTATGAAGCGGATGAAAGAAACAGGATCAATGTTCTTGACACTTGGTTACTCTTTCAGCTGCCCCATGGTGCTGATGAACTGACAGCACATGAAGCAATTGGCCATTTATTCCTATTCCACTTAGTAAACACCGGCTCAGACCCTGAGCTACTATCGATCAGCGTAGCTCCATTGCCTCAGATGGATCTAAGCCAACTTACACCAGCTGATGGATCTCGCATTTTATCCATGGTGCCAAATTCAGACCTGGGCCAGCTCCATTGGCTCCAACAGATTTGCCCTCATGTACACCAGGGATGAATCTGGCCCACAGGGGGGCCTGGAGCTGTATCTCATACGCTCTTTATTGGTAGTATTGGCACTGTAACTGCAGTCAAAGGCCGCAGATAGGGCTGGGACCTGCCTGTAGTAGCTGATGTACAAACACATATTAAAATACAGACCTGGCTCTGAAGAGCTTAGAATCTAGACTTTACTCATTGACACATACACATACCCCGCAGAGAGAGAATGAGCGACTGTGAGCAGCAAAAAAATAATTCTGTGTAGATTTTTTACGGTCTTATTTTTCAGTTGCTAAATATCTGTTGCTAAATATCTATTACTCTGACCATCTCCTATATGTCTGATACCACACTTACACTCTGTTACCCACATTCCCAAAGCCGTCCGTATCCCGACGCATAATTATAAGTAGGCTTGGCACAATTAAGGTTTTATTTTTTTTTAAATAATTTTGACAGGTAACATCAATGTTTATTTTTTAAGCATTTTTTAATCAATTTAAATTTTCACAGTTGTGGGCATTTATTGGGGGTGGCGCGGGAAGGGGTCCAGATGATTATTGTTTAATGACAGTAGACACTGAAATCGAAAAAGTTAAAGCTTTATATAACCCAAATTGTCAACATCACATATCAAACTATACAGCGTCAATGTCCTTAAATCAAACTCTAACAAGTTCTCAAGCAGCACTTGTCTTTCTTTACCTATCTGTACATTTTGATCATCAGCAAAGAAAATATTTTGTCATCAGTTTCTGTGTGAACGGGGAAAATTGATGTTTACCGATAAAAATCTACTCCTTCCAAGCCTAATTATAAGAGTTAATGGGCTTAATAAATTCTACAGGGTTAAAAACAGCGATGTGGCTCTGAGATCTTGAACTGTCAGGTCAAGTTTAAGCTAACAGTTGCCTGAGCTGTAAACTTCCAAAAGGGCATCGGAACTGTGTCCTTTCCCTTTCTTTTAACTCAGAAACGCTTGTGGCGATCTTGCAACTGAAACACAAAGCTTTGTTTCTTGTAGCACAAGGGGAAATATTGCCGCTCTGTGCCAATACTTTCTTTAAACGCTGTGTGTGATAGAATCACGCATCCTGTGTTCAAAGCTATGCTCTGGCAACCTTTGCTTGCACAAGTCATTGAAATGCTAGAGAAGATCCCTACACAGCCAGAGGAACAAGGAAGGTTCAGGCGGAGGGGAGAGCAGCACACAAAGAGACTATATTTAAGCAACAGAGCTTTATTGTTATTTTTTATTAATAAATATAATTATTATGGCAGTGCACAGAGACTCTGATTGGGCCCCACTGTGCTGCTAGGTTCTGTGCTGACACAGATCCCAGATCTGGAGTCAGATCCATATGGATGTGCTCCTGCACATGCATGGGGCCCCGCTGACTTTCATGGGACTCTGCACACGTCCACAGGTCCAACGGGGTGGATCCAACTGGGGAAATCAGGATGCAAGAGGAAGACACAGAGATGACAGCCACATTCAAATAGTCATTGCCCACTCCCATGATTTTACCGTGAGCCTTGTGATTTTTGGTGTGTTTCTTAAAGCCCCAGCTCCTGGAGTCATGTGAATACATGAAAATCTCAGCTTTCATTGTTATAGAGTGAGTTTCTACCTTGATGGTTGTGAGAAAAACTTGAAAACACAACTCAAGTGCACCCTAAAGACTTATGGGGAAAAAAGCAGAAGGCAAATAAGAAGAAACCAACATTTTGTAAAAGTCTCATGATTTTTACACCAATCTCATGATTTTTGAACACTTGGGATTGGTGATATTGAACTAGAAACATGAACCTGGCCTCAGCTTGATTTTAAACATATTTCTTTTACTTTACACACACACACACACACACACACACACACACACACACACACACAGATCAAAGAAACATGGGCTTTGGATTTACAGGGTTTGTTTCATTCAGTGGCTCAGTAAATCTAAAAGAGGCTAAATGCTGATCTCAGTTATTCTGATGTATTATTTATACTGAGGTAGCATGTACCAGTCACTGATCAGCGATGCACTGTGCTAGGCACTGTACAAACACGGTAATACAAATAATAAAATAAATAATAATCATCATCATCATCCCTGGACTGAAGGGCTTGCAATTTAAGCAAATCCACCCTGCTCCTTTTAGGCTGCAGTAATAGTTACCTGCACTAAGCTTAGTGTAAAATACCAGATTTGTGGGTAAAATGGTCTTTGACCTTCAATATCTTCCAAAGAGAAGCATCTGGGTTGAACAATGGCTGAGTCCACCCCCTGAGCGATTTCTGACTTGTCTCTGTGCTAGGCAATGTATTTTTAGAAGCCTGGATTTGAATTATTTTAACTCTCCCTAGAAAAAATATAAACAACTCTCCAGGATGAAACTCAAAGCAAACTGCTGACTGACCCAGCCAAAGATGCTAACACATCAATGCAGAGGTAGCTAAGAGGCACAGAGAATAATGTGATATTCTGCAGAATCATAGTTGACTGAGAGGCCTGCTTTCAGAACAGCTTTGAAGAGGGCAAACAAACATTCTTAGCTGTGTGAAGAACATCTCCTTCTGCCAGAAATAGAAGGGAGCACGTAGAGAGGAGCCAAATACTGTAGGCTCAGCAAAAGTCCCAATGCCTTGCAACACAGAAGGAGAGAATAAGATAGACACAAAATCCAACTCAGGATCAGGGCTGGCCAGACAACAAGACTGAAAATATTTGCAAAAGTGGGTTTTATTTCTCTTTTACATGCTATTATTTCCATTTCTAAATAGAGATGTAGTCAATAAAAGTATGTTTTTAAATAAATGCACCAGTGTGCTGCATCAACTCTGTTCCTACCAAGCGATACGTTGTAGCTGCTGTACTACCCACTAATAGCCAGCGATCCATCTTCCCTTTTTCCAAGCGTCGTCGCTGCAGTTATTATCTGTCCCAATATTTGTATTCTGAGCTCTTCTCCTCAGCCAGAGCGACTACCTCCAGATTCCCGATTTATCTTCCATTCCAGCCGGCACCCATCAGATTTCTAGCTGCATCGCCATACATCATTCTGGTG